TTTTTTTTTTTAGAAAAATGGACGTTGTAAACATTTGACCAGCCTCGTTCTCTCGGATCGTACTGCAAATTACAAATCCGCTTCCTCCCTCCCCTTGATTTATGGTCCTTGCGCGTCGCTCTTTAATGGCGGGAAAAAACCTCATCACGTACAGTTACCTTATGGAGCGCGAACTCGTCATATAAGAGGTGTAGGTAAAGCTCCTTTGTTTGTTCAGTCGAATAAAAAGTTTATAAATTAAAGTTTTTAAGGCCTGTGAAATCCTTTGCTGGTAACCCATTTGTTGTGCCATAGAAAGAAATCCATTTAATATTCGTGTTTCCGGTCTCAATTTTTCGGTTCCGTAGTATAAATTACTCGAAGTGCTTGGGCCATAAATCTCCATATTAGGGTTTTCTTTGGCGGGAATCGAGGAGTCCATGTTTTGATCTTTTCATCCATTGGCCGATAAAACAAATAACGAACACTTACCGAAACCATTTTTCAAGGTCATACGAAAATAGCTCTAACACGTATTTACTGTCATGAAAGGAGGATTGATAATTGCACTCTTGTTTCAGCTGAGAGACCTGAAGATAAAGAGGTTTTAAAGTATAAACAGAAACTGGTTACTGCCCAGGAATCATTCGAGGCGGTATTTCACTACCAGGACTACGAATTTGATCACGAGGACAAGTTTGGTCTAAGAGGATATATTTATGACATTGATTCCAGGGGGAGTGCTATACTGAAGGTATGTAGGGTTTAATCGCTCTATGTTTATTGTTCGTAATGTGGTAATGAACTGACTTTTCCTGACTGTCGTCAGGAAAACCGCAAATGACCCAGTGATTCGGTCCTTCACGCGTAAACCATACGGCTCATCGAAATGTTTAAGAAACGCAAATTTTAAAATACTTTACTGACATAATGTTTTTTTTTATGAGTGGTTTGCTCAGTAGGCCATTTCCGAGTTCCCCCCGGGCCTCTGTATCAAAACGAGGTTAAGTGCTCAACCTTTGATATAGAAATGATTTTTAATTCTCATGCAAATATAACTCATTTTCACAAGAAAGGCTGTGACCTTAGCCTCATTTCCAAAGTGAGGGTTTTTGGAACTCGGAAGTGGCCTATTGATGCTAGACTACGAGTAGTCCCCCATTTCTCCTTAGGGATAGTAGAGCGAGCGAAACGCGAGCGCGCGTGAAAATCACCACACGCGAGAAAGGCGGTGGGGTGTCGCCTTTTCTCGCGTGGGGTGATTTTCACGCGCGCTCGCGTTTCGCTCGCTCTACTATCCCTATGGGGGACTACTTGTAGTCTATATTGATGCATTCTTAGCTTGATGCTAGCCTATGTGGCAGACGCAAAAAAGGAAGGGGAAGGGGGTGGGGAGAAAAGGGACCTTTGTCCCCTCTCTCTTGGGTGCCTGTTTTGAATGCTTTTTCATCAGTTGTACGCATTTGTAACTCTTTTTAGGCTTTGTTTACACTATGCCGAATAGCGTTTCGTAGCGCCAAAAAAAGCTATCTAGGATAGTTTGAACACCTATCCAATCAGTGTGACTCTCCACTGTAGAGAGCGTCGCGACGCAGCTTCTCCCGTCACAGAAATCGCGCCGCCAAAACAACAGTCTTGTGTGTGAACAGACGCCCTATCCAGTATGATTTTCGTGGCGGTGCAAAAGCTTTCCGATATAATGTGAACTAGCCCGCAGTGCAGGCGTATTTTGGGTGGGCGAAACCTTGTTCGTGTTCGTAATATTGTTGTAGCCGCCATCTTTGATTTTATGACAGTGGAAGATTGGGGAGAGTAGAAATAGTAACCCTTAAGAGAAGGTGCGAGGGCGAAAGAAGGAAAGGGGGGAGGGGGAGAGGAGAAAAAAATACGGGGTTTTCTCTTCCCTCTCCCCGCCCCCTCCCCGCTCCCTTTGACTCGCCCCATCTCCTCCTCTCTTCGGGAAGTTTCAACATGTCGCTTTCGCGAGCAAATTGAGCGCTTAAAGAAAACGCCTACACTGCAGGCTAAGTGTGAACAGCCTTAAAGGTTCCCTTTGTCGCAGCTTATACAAATCGGAATGAGAACACTCGGGCACTGGGGATATGCGAGGCGTATTTTCCCCATTTCTTGTATGTTTTCGTCTTTATACTTATTCATCCTTTAATCCCATCTAATCTTCGACGCAGTCCTTAAGTTGCCTTCGTTTGCGCTCAGTTATAGCGCGGCTTATTCTTACACTACAGACTTAATCAAGTTACAAATTATTCGCTCCTGTTACAGAGAAGCTGGGCGAAAAACATTTTGATACGTTCTTCGTTGTAGGTCTCTTTTAGCATCCCGACGGAAACGATTAATCTTCTAGAATTCTTCCTCACATTTTTCGGGTGAGTATGGTTTTAGCAGTTGAAAGCAATCAATATATTTTTTTCCATTTCCCTCAAGGCTTTTCAGGGATAATTTACAACCTCGTGTGGGGACTTTGCCAGACGACTGCTTGCGGCGTAGTTTCTATTGAATGAAGTAATGAGTTATGAATATCCCTACTGTGACACACTATGATTTAGAAGAAGACACTAGGGAGTGGTTACTGCTATTTTCTTTTTACGCCCGTATTGTTTTTTTTTACCGTCTCACAGAGTCATGATAAGTAAAAGTTTTCTTTTTTATCCGAGAAGACGAGAAAAGGAAGTACATTTTCCTCAGTTATTTGAAGGGGCTGCAGTGTCATGGTTGTCCAGTTTACTTTGTTAATATTGCCAATTATATACGCTTCCTTATGCGCTGATAAAACTTAACGTAAACGATTAAATAACTTGTAAACGACAAAATCATCAAAATCATAGCTTCTTGTCCTACAAATATCTTTCCCAAGCATGTATCGAACCCTACAAACTAATAAAAATGAACTTTGAAAAACTGTTAGGCTAAGACGTTTTCTAAAGCTAACGAATTCAGTCCGTTTTAATCTTCTTCAAGTTTGTCCATCCGTGCCTACGTTTTTATTTGCTGTGTTATTAATACATCCTTTTAATGTTTTGAGCGATTATTTTTATGTTTCACTCAGTTTGATGGTAGTTCCTACTGTTAGAATTTTGATAAAATTCAAGACACAGCTCCTTTGAAGACCCTGAGTAATGGTTCCATGGGGTATCAAACCCGGCCTACCGCTTGACAGTGTAATACCCAATCTATTGAGCGAACCAGGCGTTAACTAAATAAGCAACTTGTTTTGAGAACTTCACAGCGCTTCCAACAACGCTCATACTAAGTTAGGACATAATACTTGTGAAAAATTCTCTGTCAAAGCTGCAAGTACGTTTTTCATTTTTGTGTTTAATACAGCTGTTTCCTGTCACTGCTTGTTGTTGCTGGTGTCGTGTGGAAAGTCAGGAATCGTTACGTTAACTTTATCTTAAACCGGGTGAGTTGCCTTCGCCACCTTTGGGATTTACAAATGACTTACATGCGTTTTTGTTTTTGTCATTTAGTTTCATCCACCTTACTCGATTAGCCTTGCAATTTTTTGGTGGGAATTGAAACATAAACATTTGTTAAGTATTTATTGTTAAATAAACTGTATAAAGTATGGAGCTGAATGATTAAAGGAAGGTAAACGCCGGAAGGTATTTATCAGTTTAACGCTAAGAATATGTCAGGTGTGCGTTTCCAACAATTTTCTGATTTTCATTTGATGATTGGTCATACTCCATTGCTGATCCTCTCTATGCCTTACGAGTTTCTTTTGTTTGGTTTGGTTTTGTTTTATTTTTGTTTTGTTTTTGTTTTAAAACCTCATTCTTTTTCCACTTCTTTCATAGCAACGACGTGAAGAGAGGCAGAAGATGGCGAGTCGTCCGTTTGCCAAAGTACCCTTTCTACTGAGTCACAGTCATCAAAAGGTAGGGTACTGGGGCAGTACTAGGGCTTACTGTACACTAAAACAACAACAACAACAACAACGAAACTCAATTTGGAGTACACTCGATAGTACACAAACATTTTCCCTGACAACTGTTAATATAACTGAAAAGCTATTTGAGGCAGGGGAAAGTCAATTTATTTAAGTAAAGAAATATAAGATAACATAACATTACAGAAGCTGACCTGTAGAGTCGTAGTCATCTAACTTAGTATGTACGAAAGGCTAAAAGGTGACAACATGATATTAGTGGCAGATTAAGATTAAGAGTGCAGGAATTAAAATGCGAATTATGAACTAGACTGAATTATATAAAGTATTACCTGCTTGTGATTAGAAAGTATTTGAGGAACCTCAATATAGTACATGTAGTCTGTTTTCTAAGGAATTTCCAAGACGATTGGTTTAAATTTAATTAAATTTAAACTGGGAGACTGAGGAATACTACTGGTAAATCTACGAATTAAATTGCGGACAGCTTGCGGCAGGATGAGTTGGGAATTTTTGGAAGTCAGAAATGTTGACTCGTAGGTAGGAGAAAATTAAGAACCTTGGTTACTTGTCAATTGCGAAAAGCTCTTTTGTGCTTTTGAATTTGAGATTCAGATTTTGTTAGTTTAGAAAGCTTAGTACTGGTATTCAAAGTTGATAAAAAATATATTGACCAGGCTTGTGGTTTTAAATCTAGACCAAGAGTTCGTCGATAATATGACTAGGATTCTAGCTCCGCACCATTAGAAACGTTTTCGGGGCTTTTGAGACGCTGTCCCTAAGAAGAGACACCAAGTAACAAACATCCGCCACACAGACGGATTTAAATCAGCCTCGTGAAAATGCGATCTCAATAATAATTTGACCTTTTTGTTGCTTTCAGTCATCAGCAGGAAATATCGCTGTAGAAACCCTTGAAAATGGCAAAGCGTCTGTCCTTACGGTTCTTATGCAATTGCCTGCGGACGATGATGGCTTCACCCCCGTCGGCCAGAGTGGTATTTGTTTCGCGAGCGTGTTAGGGACCCATGGAGACGCTCCAGGGACCACGCCCGCAGGAAGAGCTACGCGTATAAGAACCCGCAAAAGGTGTAATGGAACCTGTGTATAATCGACTGTCACAAGAAATTTCTACATCACTGCAAGTTAATAGTGCATCGGGAAAACGTGTTCTTCGACCAGACATAACCAGACGCAAACCCGGAGCACTCTCCATTTAGCCAAAACGTCTGGTTCAACTGCTGCGATTGAAATTGCAAATAAAACGTAGGCTTTGCCTGGGAATATCCAGGAAGACATGCATGATCTTATGGCTTATTCCAGTCTTTCCATTTACACCGGTTCTCAAATTTGTTGGCTCGCAACAACATCCATTTTGCTGGCTTCCTTCACGCTACGCGAGGTCTGTCAAGATTACAAGTTTGTAACGCAAAACGAGGACCATGTGTTAGTATGGAACCTTGGAAGTTTCCATCCCATCTGGAAAGTTTCCGGAATTTCAGATCAGCAAAGTATTGTCTCTCGCTTAAGGGACACGACTGGTATACATTCCGAGCTAGAGTTTTGGCTTTCTTATTTGAACCTTACTGCTCTCTGCATTCGAGTCGGAGTACTTAGGTACTGTAAATATATGAAATTAGGTAATAGTAATTAAAGTAATTTTATATAGGCTGGTGTAATTAAATTACATTAGAGAGCTTTAGATTCTAAGACGAGATTTTCTCATTACTTAAGTATTTGTCGCGCGTGAACTAGCATCATTTTGGCGGGAAAACGTGATAGCCGTCATCATTCTACTGCGAGTTTTAGCGTGAATGTCTTAGTGGCGGAAACCGTAGTTATTAAATTTTTTAATAAGTTTTATCATTTTGCTAAAGGGAGAGGGCTTAACCTCCTTCAATAAACATAACAGTACACACTTTTTTTGCTGAAAATAATTACAATGAAGATTTCCGGGGTTTCTGTTACGCGAAAAAACTTAAGTCAAATCTTGTACTCGTAGTCGTTCTCGTCCTCGAATCTACAGGTCTCTACTAAGAACCAGCGGATTACCGCGGCAGCTTGCAAAGTAATTACGAAGCTTTTGCCTGCGCTGCCACGATAACGTTATAACGCTGCACATCCCATTTGCCGATCAAGTTGGGAAACGACATCCTCGTTTCCAGGGTTTCTCTCTCTTTCTCTCCGAAGAGACGAGCAGGATAGAATCCTGGGAACGAGTTTGGGGAATTGGTGTCTTACTAATAACGATCAATTACAAATCAAGAATCAGGCAGGTAAGCCCCTGTTTTACTTCAGGATTACGAAACGAGATGTATTATTTATTGTGTACAGTATCTACAAGAAGGGAATATTGCGTGACGGCGAAACTGATACCTGTTCTTCTTCCTTTGAGTGATTCTAGTGTTGTATGAATAGTCATCAGGTATGAAAGACAGTGTCGTTAGTTATAACATATATTTCGTAAATTGAAAATGTTGTATAAATAGATTACAGGTAAAACCTTTATTAATAATTTGATCGATGTTTTACTGAAAGAACTAACATCCCTAAAAATTTGTGATTTAAAAGCAAAGACAATTTTTTTATTTAGTGTTAAATAGTCTGTTGAAATATCTGAGTAAATCTAACCAACCTACCAGTCTAGAAACGTGACATGTATAAGAAGGGGAAAGTGGCTGTAAAGATTAGTGACACCGATCGAAATGTGTTGGTTTTAGGTTGTGTAATTACTTTGCGTAGGTCTTGAATCTAACTTCACGTTAAAGTCGTTTTTAGAGACGCGGCAGCTTTTTGAGACGAAATATCTATGGGCTGAATCCCAGGCCCCCAAAACCCTGGAAGTTCCAGCTTCTAATGTCACTTCTGATTGGACAGGAAATTTTTTTTCTAGCCAATCAGTGACAGGCAACTCAAATGCCCCTAGTGTCCAGAGCTTCCCGTTCTTCTCGTAAGATTTGTATATTTTCGCTTATAATCCCTACTTAGTTGGTTGCTCTCTTTTTTCGGAGATGGTGGAAAGTTAATTTGAATTCTCTGATGAGAGGCTTCTCGTAGTTGAGAGATGAAGTAACGTGTTAGAGTGCTGCATTTTTTAACTTTTCGTTAGTTTATTCTGATCAAATGAACTCAAACCAACTTTGTAGTTTTGTAGTCTCGTTTCTAGTCGTCCTGGGCGGATGTGTTCCGAATCTGACGTCACCTGTCATGCTTGTCGGGTAAGGTGCCAGGAGAATTCGCCCAGTCGGTTCCGAACCTCCTCCGCTTACTCAAATAGCGCAAACTGGACTAGGGACGAGGTGAGATTTGGTATGTAATCAGACCCAATCCGCGCTAAGTTTGTCAAGACCTTTAACTCAAAGCTCTGATTTTAGATAAGTTCTACTCAGTAATTTATATATACATCGCAACGCCCTATCGCTACAATTTTAAAGAAGCTTGTTAAAAGAATGGCAAAATAAAAAGCTTGTAATTAAGTTCCATCTGACCGAAAAAAGGAAAAAAATAACGCAATAATAAGAGTCGTTTTATTTATATGATGTGATAAGTTTGTAAATGCTTTTTTTACAGAGACACTATGTTAAGCGTTGAATTGTTTTGAATCTAATAAGTATTGTAATTTTTTACTGGAATACAGAATTAAAGAGAGCGACAAAAACAATCTATTGTACCCAAATTAAAGTAGTGTGTTTGCTAGACTTTCCGCGCATACAATTTTTTTTGGAGTGAGGGAGGGGAGTAATAATAGCGTTTTATCTCGTTTTTGCATAGGGTGCTTAAGCAACGACGACCACGACGACAGTGCGTTCTTTAAAACTTTAACGCTTCTATTTGGACCCGCTCATTTTGTCAAATGTAGGCGACTTTTCCTGAAATTGAATTCTTAAGGACTTTATCCACGTCCTAAAAGAGATAGGAAACTGATTTGTTGTCGTATATCTACGTCCTTCATCAAACGTCGAATCAGGAGGTTTCACGTAGTAGTCGTGCAGTGGACGTCAAAGAAATGCACTAAAAGCGTGATGCACCTGCAAAGCTCTTGTTTTGCTCATAAAACCAATTGAATTTTGACGTTCTCATTGCCGTCGTCGTCGTCGTCGTTGCATAGGCTCCCCGATGTGGTGGTGGCGTCAACTTTCTTCAACACTTTCGTTTTACGTTAGCAACAGAACGGGAACGTCAGTTGACGATGGCGCGCGCAATTCAAACAACTGGCTGGACTAATGGCAGAGGGGCAAATTGGACGCCGGAAGTCGCAGTTAGTCCTTTCCGTGCGCTTTTCCGTCGTCAACACACGTTCCCGTCAGTCGTTGCCACTATTGGTATCAAATTTAAATCTACAGTCTTTCGATCCATGCATAATGAGCAGTGGAGTTTGGACCACAATATCTCTATATTCGTTCAGATTGAAGAATCGTCCACAGCTTTAACGGATAAAAGGCATTTGTGTCAAGTGTAAAAAGAAAGGTGAGGTGAAATAAATTTTCACCACTTTGCGTACGGTTGAATTCACGTTCATTGCGTATGCAAGAGTGAAGAAGTGAATCTGATATAAGCAACGAGGAATTTGATTTTCAAATAGTGAAGTCATTTATAAAATCTCTAGGAGTAGGCTTGACCTTGCTTAACTGGAAGATGAAGTGCTAATTGACTCAACATCGTGTTCGCGGATCTCTTCTGAACGCTGTCTTTTATAAGATTGCAAATCCTATGATCTTATGATCGGTAACTAGTCGTACGTCCGTGCGTCAGTTACTGAGTCATCCATGCACCACTGAGTGGGAATAATTTGCCTTGAATGTAATGCCCAGTCACAAGTGACTGCCTACTGGCAAGGGGCTTTCTGTCTTTAAGTACGTCATCAGTTTGGTGTGAAGAATCGAAAGGGTGCATTCATAAGTCTGTCAACGTCAATTTGCAGAGGTTTGTCGAGGCAATCATCCACCCAAAAATGAGCTCCGAAAACGCCGATCATATAAAGGAAAGTGTGAAAGACTACTATGGCAAAACGCTTCAGACTTCAGATGATCTTCAGACAAATGCCTGCAAAATCGAAGCCAAGAAAATGTCTTCCGCCGTGAAGGATGCACTGAAACTCATCCACGAGGAGGTATCTAGCAAGTAAGGGCCTGTATATGTTTCTGATTGGTTAATCTTTCTTACTCGATACAGTGCGGAGGAAATTCGTGTGAGCAAGCCAAACAAACTTCTCGTTAGTAGAGAGGTTAAGCTTCATCTCTACGTCAAATGGCAAAGGCGAATTTGTACCACGTGACCCAGTTTCCACTTTACTTGTCGTTTACTGTTTATTATTTCTACACATAAATTAGTAGTTTCACCCAATTTTTTATCCATAAGAATTTTTCTGAATCGTTTTTATCTGGTCATTTTCTATTTTGAGAAATTTTCAATTTAAATCTGATGTTTGCCGTTTGCGGTACACGTGAAGCTTAAACTCTCTAATAATGCGTAGAGTGGATTATTATACGCTCTAGTTAGATCTGATCGCGCAGTTGCTGATTCTGCCCATCAAATCTGAAACCCAGCGTTTAAAGTTAAATGTTATTGATGTCTAACCTTAGATCCGGCTCACGATATCCCTATTACCTTTGTTTGCCTACACTGTTTTCTTTTCCCTTGAATCAATATCGAAAATGAGAACAAAGTTCAACACAGAACTGATCTAGTAAATATGCTTAATTTATTCGAAAACATATCAGATATACTATACATAACTTCTACACAATATATACGCACCACACGAAAAATACAAAACTGTTTTCTCTCTAGTCAACGCCACAACTAAACACATAAAGCAATTACATCAAATTCTATCTTTCCTTCCTTCTTTCTTTTGTTCTGTTATAATGTTATGCCTGTGGACTGTTTATATTACTGTTTCAGCTCGTCGTTAAAGGGACAGGCTCACGGCTAGGCGCACGCTCATTAATTAAATTACTTTTTTTCCCATCTTATTACTAACTCTATCGGTTAATAATCCCACCCAAATGTATCTCCGCGATCTCAAGAGTGTATTTCAAAGTAGAAGTGTATTTCAGAGTAACCTGAAGTAGGATGGAGGAGTACTAAAATAGCAGAAAAAATTAGTGTATTATGCAAACACTACCAACGTTGAATTTATTGGTGGCCCGAAGGTTTTATTCCATGGTTGATTAATTTACAGCTATTTGCAAATATTTAAGTTGATCAAGTGCAAGTGACTGCCAGGGGAGTGTGCTGATTGGTTCTTTGACAACATTATGACATGATCATGTGGCTCGCATAGACGATACAGCGTGTCTCGACAGAAAAACAGCATTTTGATAAATGAGCATGCGCTGAACCGTGAACCTGTCCCTTTAATTGAGGGTCTCAATCTGTTGGTGGCTTTTACGGTTATCGCCTAAAGTTTTGACTCTCTTACGGCTATCGGTTAATTTTTTTCAGTTACGGTTTACAAAAAAGTTAAAAGTTAATTTCTTTTGTTTCAAGGAGTTAACTATTATTAAACCTGTATTTTTTGTAAAAAAAAAAAAACGTTCGAGGATTCAAAACAAGGCTGACAAGTAACCTGCGGCATACATCGTTATATTTACTTGCACGAGTCATGTTCTAATATGCCCGTTAAATTGACTTAAAATCCTTCAATGTAAAGCCGCTCGCTTTCACCATCTGAGTCAAGCAGCAGGGGTAGTTCCAGATCTAGCATGCCAGCTGGACTGTCATAATACCCCTTCCTTTTTCCCTTTCTCCCAATCCCCTACCCCTTTTTCGCGGGCTAGACCCTGGCTGTCATGTTCTCCACCAAGATCTTCATCATCTTACACTATGGTCGAAGACTTACCTCTAGTGTTATCATTTAGGGATAGCTCGCAAGAGAATTCAGTCCTTTCAACTTTAACTATACTTTGGATCATAGGTATAAAGTTATCTCAAGAGTCTCCTCTGCAACTTACCTGCATGGGATATATCTATTGTCGACGATTTGTCCTGGAATGAACATTATGACACTAATTGTAAGAAGGCGAATTCAACTCTTGGGCCTAGGCCAAACGTTAAACTTTTCATGAGACGAACGAAACTTATAATTTCATGAAAAGTTCGCCTCAGTTAAGTTCATCTGAATGGGTTTGGATCGTCCAACACCTTCTATCGGTCTGCTTCAGGCGAATAAAACGTCTGAAGATTGTCTCCGGAACAAACGTCGATCTTCACATGCGACTAACTAAACTAATAAATTAACGTATATTTAGCCTTATTCGGGAGAAAATTTATTACTCCTAAGTTCACCGTCTGACCCAACAGACGATGTTAACTTAATTTAGGTTGACCCAAATTAGAGTTTGGTTCGTCTCATGAAAAGTTCCACGTTTGGTCTAGGCCTTGATCTTCTTAGACGAATCATATCTGGTTCGTTGTACTCCGGAGATCAAGAACACAGCTTATGTTACTCTTGTACGCCCCAATTAAACTAGAGTATGCCTGTACTGTATGGAACCCTTATGCACAGTGTAACATCAATAAGATAGAGATGGTCCGGCGCGGAGCGGCCAGATTTGTCTATAACGATTATTCCCGTTTCATCCACGTCTCTCCAATGACTAAAGCACTGGGATGGGACTCTTTGGAGAATCGTAGATTGATCAACCGAGTGTTCATGTTTTTCAAGATTTATAAAGGGCTTGTTGGTATTTCCCTACTACCTGATGTATCTGGCAATACAACTAGAGCTTCATTATCCCCTAATTGTGCACTATGATTTCACCATTTTCCCACACTTAAAGATACTTATTATTCATTCAAAATATTTCCCCGATTCTGATTGGCTAAAAGCACACGCATAATTTACCATAACCAGTTTCTGATGACCAAATTTGGAAGAATTTTGTGTTTAACGAGAAAATGACGTCAAAAATGCAGCGTTACTGCAGGTTAAGGCACCGTTAACCGAGAAGACCTGGGGACGACGTTGAGTTGTTTTGGTTGTGAACTTGAAAAATGGCGGACATTTCACTCGTTTCAAGAGTAAGAACTAGGCGAAAAAATAACTAAAAACACGGCAAGAACAGCAAGAAGACAACTCGAAGGGCGACATCTGCTATTTGGAGAATATTTGCGGAGCTGGACAACCCTAAACGTGCACTATCGAAGATAAACTTAACAACGATGGATCGATGGAGGTAAGCATGTTTTAGCCATGTTTTTAAACTAGGAATTATTTCGACTGAATAATAAAACAATCATTGAATTCGGCTTTCGTATCATATGAAGAATTATGGAGATCTCGGAGGGTGTTATCCGCCTCGATAACACCCTCCTCGATCTCCATAATTCTTCACAAGATACTCAGCCTCATTCATTAATTGTTAACTATTAAGTGTACCCTTACCTATAATTTCTGACTTAATAGATGAACTTAAAGCCATTATCTCTGGCATGAAGGATACTATTTTAGATTGTGTTTTTATATTGCTTTTTAAAATTTATTCATATTCATTTTATAAGGCCACTTTATTGCTAGTTCATACATACTTCAGCGAGTTCAAAACGCAGCAGCCCGGCTTATAACTGGAACAGCAAAGTTTTCTCACATAACTCCGGTGCTCCATTCCCTTCACTGGCTTCCCATAAAACAGAGAGTACAATTTAAAATGTTAATTTTAATTTTTAAAGCTATTAATGGCCTAGCTCCTAATTATATTAGTAATTTAGTTAACATTTTATGCGCTAGCAAATATTTGCTTCGTCGAAACAATGAGATACTATTGGAACCATACAATGGTAAAACCAAGAAAACGCTAGGTGACAGGGCGTTTGCCGTGGCGGCCTCCAGCCTTTTTAATTCACTCCCTCGTGAAATCAGACACGAGACATGTTTTAACACTTTCAAAACTAAGGTTAAGACTTTTTTGTTTCGTATGGCTTTCTGTTAATTTTATCTAATTTAGTTGCTCATTATCTTATTTTTAATATGATGTAATTTAGTTTTTTATGATGTATTTTTAGTTTTTATATGATGTATATAGTTTTCTTTTGCTTTTGTTTATAGTTTTTAGGTATCTTAGATGTAGCGCGCATTTGATCATATTCGAATGTTAATTTGCGCGCTATAAGCAATAAATATTAATAAATTACAGTCAAACCAGGTCAAGCGTACCCCCCAAGAATCCATTAATGAATTTATTATTCAAAAGTTGAATCCGTTGCTAGTTGTAGATTTCAGATTGATCTCTGCATTCTTGTATGTGTAATGAGCCGTGAATTCACACGCGAGGCATTTATGAAATTTCTACCAGCTCCATTTTCCTGAAATTGATGTAAATGTCTTCTAAGAAGCTTAATCCATTCAAAGATTTCCAATCTGACCAAATACAGAGAAGTTCTCGTAAAATATTCACTGCTCATTACGCATGCAGAAATGCCGCTTTGAATTTGACACCAGTTACGGGAACGACTAACGGATTCATTTTTCAAATAATCAATTCACTGATAGAATCTTGGGGGGTACGCTTGACTTGGTTTGACTGTAATATGTATGTATGTATGTATGTATGTTCATTTATTTACTTACTTATTTATTTAATTTTTGCTTTTAAACTCCTAGTATAATTATCACTGTTTTACGAGGATACTTATTAAAGATTAAAGGGAACAAAATTTTTTTACGGTTAACTTACGGCTAACGGTTAAAACTAAGGTAGTCATTGATTACCGATCCGCGTTCGTCACTTACGGAAACCGACATCGAGTCGAGAGGAGTCCAGTTTTTCCTGCCGAGATGCCCCTGATAAAATCAGTGGGGGCGGCTAATCGGCAGTCGTCCGCGATACCTCGAAAATTTGTGGCTTTGTTCCACAGGAACACCAAGATTAGGATGCGTTCGGACGAACGCGATAAATTAAATTTTACGGCTGCCGACCGGCTAATTTTTGGCTGTTTTACGCCTATCGGTTAATCCCATTGAGACCCTCTTAGTTTTCATCAATTTGTTAGGGAACCTAAGCACGCACAACGGTATCGGCGACAAGAAAGTTGAGAAGCGACAACTTGGCACGTTCGTCACACTTTTTGTACATTCCTTTGCCATTACTGCACCAGTACGTTTTATGGGGGACATAAAAGCACCATGGGCACGAATTTTTTTCTATCGGCTTCGTACCTTGACGTGCCACTATGAATTCATCTCTAAGAGATTAAGAAAGTTGGGAAATTCAAAAAAACGAACTAATGCGAATTCCCTTTTAAATGACGTTTTCGTTGCCGTCGCGGTCTTGTTGCTTGAGCTCCCTTAACTTGGTAGTCAAGGCGGCTATTGTGCATGGGTAAACCATTGTATGTAGGCAGCAATCACGTTCTTAGAGGCTGCGATCCTTTAGTCCAGCACTAGAGATCACTCCACTGAATAATTGTAACGCAGGCTCTGGAAGCGAGGTTTGGAAAGGCCAGAATTGGTGAGCAACTACAGCAAGCACAACCATTCCGCTAGATAAGGGTAACGAAGGCTCTGGGGACGAGATTGTCGAGGCAGATATCTGCAATGACGTAATGACCTGTACACCAATCAAAACTTCAGAGGAAATAATTTGAATGATAATAGTATTTGGAAGTTTTCTTCAATCTTAAGAGAACTTTGCTCGTTACAAGAACTAAATGAACTGTAATGTACGTATCTCTAGCTATGTTGTGTTTCTCAATAACAGGTCAGTATTAAAAAAGAATCTTTAGCTTAGCTCAGAGGCTTTTTATGAGTCCCGGCCCTAAGCGGCACAAACCCACACATACTTACCTAAATATCCTCCGGCGTTAAAATTCATGACGCAAAAACTACAAATTAAAAATATAAAATGTACAGGGAAATCTTAACCTTGCTGTCTTCGGTCATAGGTGAACTTTAGTTTGATGTCAATTTCAGGTTTTTCGGATGTGGTTTAGTAGCCCCAGAGGCGATTGAGGGCAAGACAATTCTGGACCTTGGAAGTGGATCGGGACAGGACTGTTTTGTTCTCAGTAAGCTTGTTGGTGAAAATGGTCATGTGACTGGAGTAGATATGACGAAGGAACAGGTCGGTGGTTAAATGAAAATATATGTTTTTCCTTTTTACACAACATTACATTGTTGGTGCGAATTTTCCTGTACTGTGTTCTTGTCCATATATATAAGCTTTTTGGTTCGATTTCAAAGCGATTTATTCTGTTTATCGCCGCGAATCGAGCCAGCTCGAATTTTGATGTGACTTATCGGGAATTTTCTCCTCACGTTAAAAAAATCCCCTCCTTGGTAGATAAGTATATTTGCGGCAAATGCCTCTTACAGTAAGCACTGCATAAATAATTTTAAAAATACAAAGAAGTAATCGACACAAATTTGCAGCAAAAATAGCATATAAAAGAAGATAAAAATAAGAAAGTTATATGATAAAATAATCCCTGAACTTTGAAAGCTGGCAATATGGTTTAAAGAGCAATAGTGATCCCTTGCCCCGTACCTACTGTGGTCTTCATGGACGGGACATCGACTTCTGTTTTTATTTGTGACGTCTCTTTTTTTTTTTTACTATTCGCGGCTTCTTTTTTTTCGTTCGCAAATTTTTTTATTCGCGATTTAAAAAAGAAGTTGCAAATAAAAAAAGTAAGTCGCGAAAGAAATAAGTAAGACGCAAAGGAAGAAAAAGTCGCTTGAATGAAAAGAGAAAGAAGTCACGATTTGGATAAAAGAGAGGTCACGAATGAAAAATGAATTCGTGAGTAACATCTGAAGTCGCTAAAGTTAAAACGAAGTGGTCAATAAAGAAAAAAAAGAGTCGTGAATTAAAAAAAAGATGTCGCGAATAAAAATAGAAGTCGATGTCCCTTCTCGGCTACCTGACCGTACTTACTAGACGTCTCAAATAAACGATAAATTTTTAAAAGAAATTCCCTACGAAAAGTAACTATTACATGAATGTTGTTTATTGATCTAACTTCATTTTCTTAACGTGCTAAAGGTGGATGTTGCTAACAAATATGTAGAATACCACACAGAAAAATTTGGATATTCAAAGCCTAACACTGACTTCAAACTTGGGGAAATGGAACGTCTGTCTGATATAGGCATACAGGAGAATTCTATTGATATTATCATGTAAGTTTGTTTTACATCAATGGAATGTTTATGAACTGTTTCATGAATTGTTAAACTAGTCTTTAACAGGTCGGCTTACTCCTTTACTTCGTTGGGGGTGCGTATTGCGTAACAAAGACTTGTGCTCACTACATGAATAATTCAAAATAGACCATAATTGTGTGCTAAGTGCCCTGGCCTTTGAATAGAAGCGAGGCCGGAGGTTACCTTGTTTTATTACAAACCTTCCCGAAAATTTCGCGCGTGGGTTAGGGTTATGAAACAGAGAATTTTAAACTCTTAAGTATACCGTAAATTGACTTTGTCACTTTCACATTGCCCATAATACACCTTTTTAACGCCCCACAAGATAGCATAAGCGTTGTCTTCGATTTCTCTTCGGACAACTGTAATACGCAGCAGTCAATGACTAAGTCAAAAAATGACAACACTAACTTTCTGCGGGGAAATCGAACCGTCTGCCTTCCAGTAACTTCTCGNACATGAATGTTGTTTATTGATCTAACTTCATTTTCTTAACGTGCTAAAGGTGGATGTTGCTAACAAATATGTAGAATACCACACAGAAAAATTTGGATATTCAAAGCCTAACACTGACTTCAAACTTGGGGAAATGGAACGTCTGTCTGATATAGGCATACAGGAGAATTCTATTGATATTATCATGTAAGTTTGTTTTACATCAATGGAATGTTTATGAACTGTTTCATGAATTGTTAAACTAGTCTTTAACAGGTCGGCTTACTCCTTTACTTCGTTGGGGGTGCGTATTGCGTAACAAAGACTTGTGCTCACTACATGAATAATTCAAAATAGACCATAATTGTGTGCTAAGTGCCCTGGCCTTTGAATAGAAGCGAGGCCGGAGGTTACCTTGTTTTATTACAAACCTTCCCGAAAATTTCGCGCGTGGGTTAGGGTTATGAAACAGAGAATTTTAAACTCTTAAGTATACCGTAAATTGACTTTGTCACTTTCACATTGCCCATAATACACCTTTTTAACGCCCCACAAGATTGCATAAGCGTTGTCTTCGATTTCTCTTGGGACAACTGTAATACCCAGGAGAAAATGAAAAATGTAAAAAATGAAAAAATGTAATTTTTTCGGTGGAATCGAACCCATTACCTCCGGATAAGTTCTACTTTTGTCTTCCCCACTGAGTTACGAGGCCAGAAAGAAGCGAATCGTGCGGGTCTAGTAAGTTGGTAAATCACGGCGCAGATTAAACTTTATATTTAGCAAGGAAAGCACAGAAAACTGGTCTTTGTACTCCTTGCAGATACCGATTGGCGCGCCCTTCGCAAAGAAAAACGCGTAACAACGCACATTGAGATCTTTTTACTTTTGCCTTTTTTAGTTCAAATTGTGTTGTTAACTTGACTGCAGACAAAAAAGTTGTCCTCAAGGAAGCTCACAAGGTTCTTAAGGTAAAATTAAGTCGCTTTTATAAAGAATCCGTTAAAAACCCTCCCAGATCGTGCTTTATCAAGCCTATTGGAGACACAGTTTTCACCAGTATGCATTGCAACCAGACTAACCTCTGACTCTGATTTTGCGGTTTGTCCTAGAATGGCGGTGAGGTTTATTTCAGTGATATGTACACAGATACAAAGCTTCCTGAAGCGCTAAAAGAAGACAAAGTATTGTGGGGTAAAGTTTCATTTTATACTAGAAAATCCTTGAAATAACTGGGTACAATCCATTTGGTCTTTTACAGGCTAAAAAAAACTATTTATATGTGATCTGGTTTAAAACGATACCTAAGCTAATTCATTTAACAAAATAATTCATGGAATATTTCTATAGTGTTCAAAATTATACGAGCAGCTAGTTTTTACGTGCAAAAAACCCCCATCAAAGGCTTCTTTACTAAAGGGTGTGCAAACAGAACTTGAATACTTGAACCATAACTGGATATAGTTTCTTTAGGAGAAAAGTATGATCAAAGATATCGATCGAACACCTTAACGTGGCTCGATGGGTTTTTCTTGGTCAGTACCTCCCAAGTTCGAGCATACCGTAGTAAACTACGTCGCCATTGATCAAGATTTGGAAAAGTTACCACCACAGCTTTATTAGATAAAGATGAAAATTTGTTGTGTTCAGGGTTACAATAGCAATACAATAAGATAGTTTGTTTTGCCTTGTGTAGGTGAGGGTCTTGCAGGAGCCTTACACTGGAAGGAGCTGATTGAACTGTGTAAAGAAGTGGGCTTCAGTGGACCTTACTTGGTTACATCCAGGCCTATTGAAGCTGAACCGGAACTGAGGAAATCTTTGGGTAGGTTTATTAGGGGTCGGGTTCCAAAGTAGTTGTAGTGATTGTTTGGTATAATCGCCATTGTCTCCCCCACATTCCCCTCCGCCTCAGCACTGCCATAAAACATGTCTGTAAAGCACACCCTTATGCTCCATTTGTGTGCTCAAAACTACTTATCTGTGAATGTAGCTTATAAGGGGTGTAAATTCACATTCTGCACAGCCACTCTTTCTTGATATCTTTTTTAAGGTAGAAAGTGTGATGGACAAGTTGCATTGTTTTGATTAGCATCTGACTGACAACGTAAAGGTATAGATTATACCTACCATCGGCGTCTGAATAAGACACTTCTTTTGCCCCATTGTAATTAAGGTAATCCAAGACAATCTGGATTCTGGATTCCACACTTGGGATTCCGGATTTCAGGTACTGGAATCCGGATTCCTTGTCAGTGGAACTTGGATCAAATCCCATTGTTAGCGAGATTCCGGATTGCTTGAGCTGAACTGCCAAGATTCCGGATTCCACAACCATTATTTTCGGGGTTCCGGAAATCCAGATTACCTTACACCGGCGACTTTTCATTAACGACATTTCCCGAGTTTATCTCACGATACAAGTTTAAAAGTCCGATAAGAAAAGCAAGCCTTTTCTCTTCAATTATCCTTTAAGCAGTGTAGTGCTGTTAAAGTCGCCTTCGTAGGAAACAACAAACAAGCCAACTTTTCTTTGGGTACGAAGCGAGGGTCCAAATTGTTTTATCACAAATGTTTCAACATTTTTTATCGCCGATTGCAGCTTATACTTTTAGGTATTGTCACCGTGAGAGCAGAGGCTCCTTTTGTCTTCTTCTTGATCGAGGGGGAGAAAAGAAGTCTCTATCTGAAACGCGACAAGGCTTTAAAGTCGCACAGCCCGAACTTCTGGGCTAGTTAGTTTTCTCTTATCAGACTGATTTTTTCGATTGCAAGGATCCGTTTGTTTATACTGAAACCGATGGTCAAAACAGAGCCCGCTGTACCAAGCACAAGGCTATAAGGCCTGAGTTCGAAACTGTATCCTAGAATATAATTCTCACAGAGCCACAGCCTAAAAAGGCTAAGCTGCTCTGTTGCATCAGGAAGGCCAAAGTTTTTTACTTACTTCGAAACAGGACGTCAAACAATATCTGAAAGCTCATTTTTAGTTCCCTCTGAAACACCTGGAGAATATAATTCTCACAGAGCCACAGCCTAAAAAGACTAAGCTGTTCTGTTGCATCAGGAAGGCCAAACTTTTTTACTTACTTCGAAACAGGGCGTCAAACAATATCTGAAAGCTCATTTTTAGTTCCCTCTGAAACACCTGGAGAATTAAAATTCTCACAGAGTCACAGCCTGAGAAGGCTAAGCTGCTCTGTTGCATTAGGAAGGGCAAACTGTTTTACTTAATGCTGGACATGCACTATCATCAATGTTTCCTTTAGGATTAGTTTTGTTTGTAAAATTAAAGGCTGGTCATCACCATCTTCTCTCAACAACACTAAAATGCATTCAAGGAAGTTCTTAACAATTATACCATCTATATTATTGATCACAAGTTATGAATAACTTCAAGTACCCTTAAATCATGACATAAGAAAAAAAACTCGAGTTCAATTAAAGCACAAATTCTCATCATTAAACTTTAAAAAAAATCAAATACAGGCATTTCAAATCGAGATTCGAGTCACCGCAAAAACACAAACAAGATAGTCTAAGCATTAAACCTAAAACTCAGCTGAACTGAGCTGTTTCAGTGCGATCAGCCTTAAGAAATAGTGATCTCCATCAACATTCTCCATGAACATTACACTTTCACACAATTAGCAGTTATTGAGAATTTATAAAATGATCCAATGATCGGTGTCGACCTTAACACGTTTTTGTGCTAAAATAAAAATAGACTTACCCCGCTTCGGCTGATGTTTAGAAAATTGAGAAGGACTGAAGAGCATCAACCAGTTCCCGAGTTTCTGACTCGACGGTCATCCGCCACCGTCAGGAAAATCATACGATATTGCTTCTCGAACGAATCCCTCATTTTAATCCCCAATTCAGTAATCCAGGACCAAGTACCTTTTCCAGATCTTCTCCGCACGACGAAACGCTTTCTCTGACTTCTCTGGCCGCTTCCCACTTTATTTTCTAGTAGTTGGAGGGAATTTAGTCCTTCTTTGATCGCTTTAAACCCGCTTTCGTCTGCATTCCATCGGCGTATTAAAGGTAAGGCTTAAAGTTGTGGAAAAGATGAGTCGTTTTTCAACAGAATAGAAATTATTTCCCTGATTTACTTTTGTCAGTTCTTTGAAAACTGAAGAAGTATGCGCATTTGGAACGAGATAGAATTATATAAGAGTGGTGAAAAAAGTAGAGCATTTGTAGCTAATAATTTGTACTTTTTGAAATACGGATTAGCTGGTGTGTCTCGCGTTTGAGATTTATGCAACTGGCTCCCAAAAGTCAACCTCAGGTGACTGCTACCGCAGAGATGCTAATCTATTCGGAATTATAAGTAAGAAAAACCCCTAGTTTAAAGCCATGCCAAAACTAGAATAAGTCAATGAAACTGCAAGTCGTTCAGTAAATATGTACCTGGGACTTTTCGGCCCAGCGGTATGATTGTTTCCACGAAGGAAGTTTATTCCTACAAAACACCGGCGTCATTCGGGTCCATTCCCAGTTCAGTGAACATGAATGACGTGTCTTTTTCTAAACTGAACATGGGAATGTGACGTCTGGTCTAAACTGATTCTAAATCTCGCTATTCATCGTCAGTTTATGCATTTCCAAACTATTTAATGATAACAGTTTTTTGGAAAAATCATAAACGATGACTTTTTTTTAAATCATGCACAGATGGTTTTTAATAGGCACTAAAAATGAATACCCCCGACTCTAAAAATACTCAAAACCGCCCACCCTTTTCTTGCGGTCTGAGTCCATTATGTAAGGGCCTTGACTGGGTGACCAATGCTAAACAACGCCGGGAATAGCTTTGAAAATTTAACCTGCTGTTCTGAACTGGACTGTATCTTTACCGCAGTTGATTTACTTTTGACTAATATCAAACAAAAACTATAATCCTCTGATACGATATCAATGATTTGGCAAAGACTGCCTTCTTATCTTTAATACATTTTACAAGTGCGCTAGGATCAAGGATAGTTCTTTCAAGCAAATGTCAACAAAAAGAATGATCTAGCGGGTGAACGGTTCATTACCTCACGATTGGAAAAGTGTCAAAATGATGAGATTTCACGGTTCTATGACTCGTACAGAAAATTGACCATTGATTAGAGCTAACAAGCAGCATAACATTCATTTGACTGCTGGTTGCGTCACAGAGAACAGTACCTCGCAGTTTCCGTGGTAAGTACGCTGCTTCCTTTTCAGTTACATAATCAACTACTTCTATTTTCTAAAGTGTATCTCAGTGTTCGTGGCTGAAGCAGCAGTCGGTTAATTGGTGATAAGGCTAGTGCTCTGAGCTCGTCTTCCACATAGCCATAGGGTAAGTTCGAGTTTTCGTTCCCAGAAGCTCATGTAAGTTGTGTTTGCGTTTGCGTTCGCTGCTGATTCTCGTCCATGCAAGCGATTGTCTACAGCATAAGTTTGGGGCTAACTGCTTGAACGGCAGAAATCTTAATGTAAGAACAGTTGAGGTTCAGCTTGATTCTGTAGCCGATACTAAACTACCTGGCATAAAGATAGACAACTGATTTAAATAACCGTATCGAATATAGGAAAGCGACTTCGCCTTTTGAAAAGAACAGATAAATTTCTGTGACTGAAAGCTGAGAAGTTTGTTTTACAACTCACTTATCCAGCTAATACTTGACTACGGGGCTTATTGTCTTGGGGACATGAAGGAAACCGAAGCCGCCCGTTTAAGACGTTAATCAATTTACAGAAACGATGCGCCAGAGTAATGCTAGACAAAAAACGAGACACCCCTCGGGGCCTTTATTTAGAGATCTTAACGTCATGCCATGATTTGATAAAAGACAAGAACGCGCTTACAGCCGCATCCAGTCACGCTTGCTTGGAGATTAGATCGAGAAAGCTTAGGATAACTGTATAGGAATATTTTTATTTATAAAAGTGGCCCTGTCCTCTTGGCCGGTATTACGGGAGAAAATGGTACCGTCCAGCGGAACATACTGAGTTTTAGCAACATTTGTTTGGAGGCATATCATATCTGGGTTTTTTATTGCTAAACGGTCATTCTTTAGGTTTCCAAAAGGCCAGGGTAACTAAACAGGAGTGTTTTTTTTTTTCGTAAAAAATGCCTTGTCCTTTTGGCCTGTATTATCTAAGGAAATAGTACTGCCTAGCAGGACATCCTAAACTATGTCAGCAGTTGCTTGCATGTATTACTACATGACATGCAGCTTGTTATTGTTACATTGTAATACATACCTTGCCCTCTGAAGGCTTTTTCCTACCAGCTGGGGACAGCTGAACAAAGATAGTTTTATTCATTCCTTGTTGTTGTAATCACCTAAGAATGTCCACCCAGGAGGACAACCTATAGGGAGTACTCAAAACTGACAGCTAGAAGTGAATCTGATATAAGCAACGAGGAATTTGATTTTCAAATAGTGAAGTCATTTATAAAATCTCTAGGAGTAGGCTTGACCTTGCTTAACTGGAAAATGAAGTGCTAATTGACTCAACATCGTGTTCGCGGATCATCTTCTGAACGCTGTCTTTTATAAGATTGCCATTCCTTTGATTTTATGATCGGTAACTAGTCGTACGTCCGTGCGTCAGTTACTGAGTCATCCATGCACACTGAGTGGGAATAATGTGCCTTGAATGTAATGCCTAGTCACAAGTGACTGCCTACTGGCAAGGGGCTTTCTGTCTTTAAGTACGTCATCAGTTTGGTGTGAAGAATCAAAAGGGTGCATGCATAAGTCTGTCAACGTCAATTTGCAGAAGTTTGTCAAGGCAATAATCTACGCAAAAATGAGCTCCAAAAACGCCGATCATATAAAGGAAAGTGTAAAAGACTACTATGGCAAAACGCT